ATTATACATATTAGAATGGTATAGATAATTAATGAATTTATATTTAGCTGAAGAGCTATGAATATTATCATATGTATTGAAGTCACCAAAAACAATAAAATGGAGGTTGTGTTGTAAAACAGTTGAATCTAATTAATTATAGTATCTTGGGTTGTATTTCATTTTGACATATTGGTTGATGAAAGATATACAGAAATAATACGAAGTTTGATGTTATTTTTAAAAAATAGGTCAATAGCTATAACGCCACCAGGATGTGTAAGACAGTTATAAATGTAAGGCTAAAGAAAATTGCATATCATAATAGCAGAACCTTCTGCAATTAGAGTTAGCCCAAAAGTATGTGAAAAAATTATTATTACAGAATAATAGATTAAACTAATCAGAAATTTTAATTTCAATAATGCAAATAATATCAATATTGTGATCAAGACAGTAATGTTGCCAGGCTTCTCTTTTAATGACTGAGTTAAAGCCTTGAATATTATGTATTGTAATATTAAGATGTAAGTCTCTAATTTGGTTAGGATGTTGATTATAAGAGCTGTCGATAAACTCTTGGTTTCTAGATGATATAGGTAAGATGGATGGGTTATACAGTGGTTATACAGTATATTAATAATTATAAATAATAATAATAATAATAATAAGTAATAAAATCCAAAGCAAGTTCCATCTTAAAAAAAATAAAAAAATAAAAAAATAAAAATAAAATAAGTAAAAATATTAGTTTATTCGAAAAAGGAAAACATAAACAATAAACTTACTAAAAATGATGGAATTGAAAAGCTGGAAAAATTAGAAGAGGGTAAAAAAAAGCATAAAAAAGTAAATATAAATGAATAGTTGATAAATAAATTACATAAAATTCAGTTTACTAACATTTTGCCCGTTAATTCTTGCTGGTATTAGCTGTAGAAGTTAAGCAAACTAATAAAACACTTATATTTTTGCTACACTTACGTATAAGCTGCCTACCCTTAAATACTTGAGCCCACTTGATCCGGAATTTTTAAAAGGCTCGTTAAGATCGCGAAGAATATACTTGCAAAAAAAAAAAAACCATAAAAAAGTTGTTATATCTGATTGGTCAATCAGGGGTGTAATGATAGAACTTGTGACATGTGATTGTCGTGTAACATTATCAAGCACGTTTATTGTGAAAAAAGTTTTATTCTTCGTATGGTTGCGTTACTACTAATCCGCCACAAACATAAAGAATAAAAGTAGTTTATTATTGATAATTTCGTCATGTTAAGGTTTATTTCCCGTCCAGGTGGTTTAAAACGACTAACCTCTCTAACCTCGAGGGGAAAAGGTATTACTAAGAATAGGCACTAAAATTTGGTGTATAAAGTACAAATAGTCTAATCAGTGGACACCTCAACAATGTGTGCCTGAATTTACATTCCAAGGAATTCGTGCTTTCAGTCTTAGCATTCCGAGAAAACAACAAGTGGAAGTGTTTGTGGACGGAAATCCGGTAAAGATTGAGCAAGGAAGCGCCGTTATTCAAGCCTGCGAAAAAGCTGGTTATACGATACCTCGCTTTTGTTATCATGAGGTTGGTGACAATATCTTAAATTATAATTTGATTTTCCAAAATAATTGATTTTTGAATTTGGATAAATCAGCGGTTATCCGTTGCTGGCAATTGTCGAATGTGTCTTGTTGAGTTAGAAAGGTCACCAAAACCTATTGCATCGTGTGCAATGCCTGTTATGCCTGGGATGAAAATCAAAACTGATACTCCACTAGTAAAAAGAGCCCGTGAAGGTGTTATGGAATTTCTTTTGGCCAATCATCCATTAGATTGTCCGATATGCGACCAGGGCGGTGAATGTGATTTGCAGGATCAATCAATAAGATATGGAAGTGATCGAAGTAGATTTCATGAAGTAATCGGAAAACGAGCCGTAGAAGACAAAGATTTTGGACCTTTAATAAAAACATCCATGAATAGATGTATTCATTGTACACGTTGCGTACGGTTTGCTAATGAAGTCGCCGGTGTTCCTGAATTAGGCACAACTGGCAGAGGCAGCGAAATGCAAATAAGCACGTACATTGAAAGTACATTGGACTCCGAAATGTCAGCCAATGTCATTGATTTATGTCCTGTTGGAGCTTTGACCGCCAAACCGTATGCATTTTCATACCGTTCTTGGGAACTGAAAGGTACTGAAACAATCGATGTCCTAGATGCTATCGGTAGCAATATCAGAGTCGATACTCGTGGAGTTGAGGTCATGCGTGTCCTGCCAAGAATTAATGATGAAATAAATGAAGAATGGATTTCTGATAAAACGAGATTTGCATTTGACGGACTTAAAAGACAACGACTTACTACTCCATTAATTCGACAGGGAGATAAATTTATTCCTATATCGTGGAACGAAGCATTGTCATGTGTAGCAAAAGAAATCCATAAAGTTAAAGGAACAGAAGCTAAAGCGATTGCTGGACAACTTGTAGATGTAGAAAGTTTGGTCGCCCTCAAGGATTTATTCAACAGTTTTGGTAGTGATAATTTCGCTATCGACAGTCCTAATGGTTCTAAGATGCCTACTCATGGAGTTGATTTCAGATCCAATTACTTATTGAACAGCAAAATTGCCGGAGTTGAGAAGGCTGACGTGCTTTTATTAGTTGGTACAAATCCACGCCATGAAGGTCCAATTCTTAATACCAGAATTCTAAAAAGCTATCTAAACAATGGCCTAGATGTTGGACTTATAGGTCATACGGCAGATACAACCTATGAATATGATCATATTGGTGCAACCAGTAAGGCGCTCGATAGTATACTGAATGACGTACACCCGTTTGCTAAAAGGATCTCTGAAGCTCAAAGACCGTTGATTATAGTTGGTAGTGGAGTCCTAGACAATCCTGACGAAGCATATATATTCTCTACTGTAGCAAAAATAGTTAACAAGTACAAAACAAAATTTTTCCAAGATGGATGGAACGGATATAACGTACTTCAAAGGGTTCGCATATATGATTTGTTGCATTCATGACCATGTGATGTGATCTTATTTGATTTATAATTTCAATGGTTTATTTAGTCTGTAGGTCATCCAGCTGCTTACGATATTGGATTTATACCTTCACACGCGTCATCCCAAACAACACCAAAATTCATCTACCTGTTAGGAGCAGATGAAATTAGGCCTCATGATATTCCAAAAGATGCATTTGTAGTATATCAAGGGCATCATGGTGATGTAGGAGCTCATTATGCTGATATAGTTCTTCCTGGAGTAGCCTATACATATGATAATATTCATAGCTCTTCAGCTAAATATAAATTCATTAATTATCTATACCATTCTAATATGTATAAT